CACAGAAGATCTTACTGAAGATAATTCAGAAACGTTTGCAGCAGTATATTGACAGAGAACTTCCAGAGGTTCAAGCCAGATTCAGAAGAGGACGTGGAATAAGGGATATCAGAGCTGTTGTCAGATGGATCTTGGCTCAAGGCAAAGAATACCAGAAAGATGTCTACTTGTGTTTTATTGACTATGCAAAGGCACTTGATTGTGTGTATCATGACAAATTATGGATAACTTTGAGAAGAATGGGAATTCCTGAGCACTTGATTGTACTCATGAGGAACCTGTACTGTGACCAGGAGGCTGTCTTTCGAATGGAACAAGGGGACACTGTATGGTTTAAAATCAGGAAGGGAGGGCATCAGGGTTGTATCCTTTCCCCATACTTATTCAATCTGTATGCTGAACAATCAATCCGAGAAGCTGGACTATATGAAGAAAAACATGGCATCAGGATTGGAGGAAGAATCATTAACAACCTGAGATATACAGACGATACAACTTTGCTTGCTGAAAGTGAGGATGATTTGAGGCATTTACTGATGAAGGTTGAAGAATACAGTTTGCAGTATGGATTATTGTCTCAATATAAAGAAAACAAAAATCCTCACAACTGGACCAATGAGCAGCATCACAATAAATGGAGAGAAGATTGAGGCTGTCAAAGAATTCACGTTGCTTGGTTTTATAATCGATGCCAATGGAAGCAGCAGTCAGGACATTCGATGACATGCAGCATTGGGAAAGTCAGCCGCGAAGAAACTGTTTCAAGTGCTGAGGAGCAAGGATGTCTCCTTGAGGACTAAGGTGTGGCTGACAGAAGTCATGATATTTCCAATCGCCTCGTAGGCATGTGAGAGCTGGACAATGAGTAAGGAAGACTGTAAAAGAGTTGATGCTTTTGAGTTGTGGTGTTGGTGAAGAATGCTGAAAGTACCATGGACTGCTAAAAGAACTAACAGATCTGTCCTGGAGGAAGTACACCCGAAATGCTCCTTGGAAGCGAGAATGGCCAGACTTCCTCTCACCTATTTTGGTCATGTTGTCAGAAGGGACCATTCCTTGGAGAAGGATGTCATTCTTGGTAGGTGGAGGGTCGACAAAAGAGGGGGAAGCCTTCAATGAGATGGATTGATACGGTGACTGTGATGATGGGCTCAAGTATAGCAGGGATTGTGGAGGTGGCGCGGTATCAGGCAATGTTTCGTTCTGTGCATGGGGTCGCTATGAGTCGGAAATGATTCGACTGCACCTAACAACAACAACAACAAAACGGACAATAATAATAATAATAGACTAGTTTTAGAACAGAGAAAAAGAAACAAACTTAAGAAAAGAAAAAATAAAGAAAATATCTGTAAAGGATAGGGCAGAGTACCCAGTCTCTGTCAAAGCACAGAGACTGGGATGGAATTCCTACCATCCTAGAAGGTGAGTGGAAGTGAGGGATGGCTGAACCTCCGTTCACCAAGAGGGTGTGAGATATAAAAGTAAAAGGTGAATGTCGTACCTTTTCAGTAGTCTGGGCGTCTGGGATGTCTTTCATTTCCCAGCTAGTAGAGCCTGTTGTTAAGTCCCTGTAATCTGGGAGAATGCTGTCACTTTAAATATGCAAAATGGTCAGATTGCTTGTAAGCATTCAAAATGGCTGCACTCTCTGGATAGGCAAAAGTTCACAGCTCCGTGCGTCTTGCTCTTCACTGCTTTTCATTTTATTCCCCAGCCATCAGAGCAGTCCTTCGTTCAATCCCTGACTAGCAGGGCTGATTTTTTGGTTAATTCTTAGGTCCTAACACCACTGGGCAATATCCAAGCTGTCTGTGCTGTCAGGATTGCTGCCAGCCCACAGCTCCATATGTCTCCTTTTTTTGTATTTTCATGCAAATTCTTCTGTCAGTCAGAGTTTAGTCCACTTCTATATCCTTCCCTTCAAAGCTCAGGGGTCCAGGATTATCTTCTTTATCTGTGTTAATTGGTTCCCCTTTTCTTTGTTGAAGAGGTTCGTTGTAGTTTTTCTGCCTATTCCACCATCTTACCGAACTCCCTCTCTCCTTGACTTTTTACAGTAATGAACTAATACCGCACCTGTCCTTCTGTGATTGACGTATTTCACTCACCGTAGTATCCTCCAGGTTCATCCTGTTATGTGCTCTTTTGCAGATTCTATATTATTCTTTAGTGTTGCATGGTATTCCATTGTGTGTATGTACCATAGTTTGGTTATCCATTCTTTAGTTGATGGGCACCTAGGTTGTTTCCATGTTTTTGCTATTATAAATACTGCTGCAATGAACATGAGTGTGCATGTATGTGTTCTTGTCCTCATTTACTCAACTTCTTTTCTTCAGAAAATCTGGATTCCATGAGAATTTTATACTCTTTTCTGTTGGTCCAAGCAAATAGAGACCAATTGCTGTTAATTGGATGGTTGCTTCTAAACATTTCATACCTCAGGCACTATGCAGCAAACTAGGAAGTAGAGCAGAAGTAACACTAAATATGTTATTAGGTCAGTTAACTTCAATGTACCATGCAACCATGATCCTAAACCTCCAAATGAAGGAAAAAATTACCATGAGGTTTTTGGTTTACATAAACATTCTTATCAGCTATTTTTTGTTTTTTCTGGGTATATCTATCACACAGCTTTTCCCAATGCAACTTTTTATAGGTGTACAACTTTTTGACAGCAATTGTAATAACTGGCTGGGCAACCCTACCTATAATCAAAGCAATGTTTCCATCACCATTACATGCCTCTCCTTCCCCTTCCTCTGCTAACCAGTAATAAACTTTGGTCTCTATATGTTTTCTTTTTCTTATCTTTGTATGTAAGTGAGGTCATATAGAATTTTTCCTTTTCTCAATGACTCATTTCACTCAGCATAATGTTTTCCAGCTCCATATATATTGTAGCGTCTATCAATCCTTTGTTTCTGTTACTGATTCAGTGGTATTCCATTGTATTTTATTTATCCATTCCATTCCATTTTATTTATCCATTCAGCTGTTGATGGACATTTATGCTGTTTCCACCTTTTTGCTATTGTGAATAAGTGCTTCAGTGAACATTGATCTACAAATCTTTCTTTGCATCTCTTCTTTTAAGTCTTTTGTGTATATACCTAGAAGTGGAATTGCTGGGTCATATGGTAGTTCTGTGTTTATTTTTTTGAGGAACTGCCACATTGTTTTCCACAGCAGTGTAGCATTTTACATTTCCACCAGCAATCGATAAAATTTCTTATTTCCCCACATCCTTGCCAACATATATTATTTTCCGTTTGTTGTTGTTGTTGTTGTTTGCCGTCGAGTCGGACCCGACTCATAGCGACCTCTCCTTGGGTTTCCGAGGCAGTATCGCTACGGAAGTAGATTGCCCCATCTTCCTTCCGAGGAGTGGTTGGTGGATTTGAACCGCCAGCCTTCTGGTTAGCAGTCAAGTGCCGTAGCCACTATGCTACCAGAGCTCCGTTTGGTTTATTTTTATTTTTGCAGTGTTTCCTTAATGTTAGCTGTCTCAGCAGGAGTAAAATAGTACTTCGTTTTGGTTTTGATTTTCATCTCTCTGATTGCTACTGACATTTGAACATCTTTTCCTGTGTTTGGTGGCTATTTGAATGTCCTCTTGGTGAAATGTTTCATTTGTATTTTATTATTTTTTTTAAGGCAACAAATCTACTTCTGTGTGGCTGAATGACATTATCAAGAAAGAAGATATTTCTTTTCTTATACACCAGTTTGAAGGGGGAGGAGGGAGTAGTGACAATCTCTCTGGCATCCTTGCTCAGCCTACTCTTGGCCATGTCCCAGGGCCCTTTAGTCTTCGTGTGACCCTTCAATGGATGGACATGCTATTGGCAGCACTAGAATGCTACAACACTTTTATTGGAGAGAAGTCCATCGGAGCACTTGAGGTCCTGGGTGAGTAAAACTTACTTATACCTGAACAGGTATTTTCTCATTCTGCTGGGAGTAACTCTAGGGAAGCAGTCTTTGATTAGACAGCTTGCTTTTAATCTCCTATAATGATAGCATCAGTTACAACCAATCCTGTTTAATGCTGTGTGAGGTGCTTTCCCTGCATCCTCTTTGAACCTCATAGTGAGGAATATGACATAGAAGACAGTACCAAGGCCACATATATCTAACCAAAGCCTGTGCTCCTCAAACTCTGTACACAGGTTTTAGACGCCCAGTAGAAAATAACTTTTGAAAATGTTAGTTTGTGTGATGGTACATTTAAAAGAGTTCTTCTGGACATGAGGCTCTCTGATCTTGTTCCATGTTTCTGTTAGAATGTCTTTATTTTTCTTATATTTCCATATTCTTTAAGCTTGGTTTAGTTTTAAGGTAATAACAATGTTGTTTACAAAGAGCAGAATGCAAGTCAGAAGGTTTTGTGTGCTCCTTAGCCTGTGTTGGGAGTTCTGGTTTTGTAGTGCCTAAGGCATTTGCCTGCTAACCAGAAAGTTGGTGGTTCAAACCCACCAGCCACTCCTCAGCAGGAAGATTGAGCAATCTACTTTTGTACTGATATTGCCTCGGAAACCCAAGGAGGGGTCACTATGAGTTGGATCCGAGTCAATGGCAGTGAGTTTGGTTTGGTTTAGTCTGCGTTGGGAAGAACATTAGCAGGTCTCTTCCTCTTTTAGTGACTACAGGGAGTTCTCTGGAGGCAGGCATGTGTGCTTCCCAGGCCAGCTCTCTGGGAAGGGAGCCTGGCACTATCTTCTTTGGGATTCTCTGACCAGGAGTATCAGCATTCTGACCTACATCTAATCTCTCACAGAGTCAAAACATGTTTTATTATTTAAAATGATTCTTAATTTAGTTGAAGCACCCACTGCCGTGCTTTGTGGCAGTCTTTAACTAATTTTGTCAGAGATAAAGTATGTGTAATGGGAATTTGGGAGAAAAACACCAGGCTTTTTAAGCTTGAGAGTGATAGAAGCTGGGCAGGTGGGACATGTGTAATGTGTGCACACACTTGTGCAAATGCCTGTGTGTACACATGCTTGAGGTCCTGGGTATATTTGCGTATGTGCATGCATGTTAGGGTTCATTCAGGAAAATAAATTTCATAGAGTTCTGAGAAACCTTGACTCTTCAACAAGAGATTTTATTCAGAAGAGTAAGTCAAAATGTGAAACTTTTTTTTTTTTTTTAACTTTTATTGGGATTTGGGTGAAGGCTTACAGAGCAAATTCATTTTCCATATGGCAGTTCATACACATTTTTTCCCTTGACATTAACTGTAATTCTCCACAATGTAGCAACTGTCTTCCTACTTCCTCCCCATGGTTACCTCTACCCTGTGTCCTTCTCTCCCATACACTCACACCCGGCAAGCTATCTCCTTGTGCATACACTGCCCTTTACTTCCATGATCAATCATTCCAAGTAGTGTATCTACCTGATAAATGTTCAGTCCATGTACCTGTCTGTGTTTCCCCTAGAAGCCACAGGAGTGAGTTCAGTTCTAGAGCTGAAGGATAGCTAGGGGCCATAGTCTCAGGAGTCTCACAGGCTCTATCAGACCAGCAAACCTGGTCTTTTTTTTTTTTTTTTTT